CAACCCCTATGATTCTATGATTTAAAATAATGTGCTTACAAGTGGAAGGCAATGGCTGGAGGTTGAGTAAGAAAGAGAAGGGAAAGAAAAACCATGTTCTGGTTTGTTTCCATGGAGTAGAATCTACTGCCAAACAGACAAGATGCAAAAATATAACAGTTGAGGGCTGACGCTGCTCAAGTTCAGTACAGCTTTAGATTGTTCCCAAAGTAGCAGGGAGAGAACACTTTGTAATGGCCTCAGTGCAGTAGTGCAAGGTCTAAACTTGCCTTCCAAAGCAAAAATCTGGTTTACTGGCTACCACACAAGCTCTGAGGCCTGTCAACAGCTACACAGGCAGAATGGCTTTCTAGATAACGTGCCTGGATTTGCAAGTATAAACCATAAACGAAGACTATGGCAATTTGCACTCTTATGGAACTCTGAGAAATGAATTTGCATAAAGCCATCTGACGAGCAGAGATGCGATTCTTTAAGTCTCTGGTGTACTTAGAAGACCCAGAAGCAAGTTCACCTTAGAGAGAAAAGCAGAGCAGAGAGAAACCCTGAGGTAGGAACCCACTCTACATGACCAGGACTAATAATTATGTCCACTGCTCAAGCCCTGCAGTCACTGGTCACCCTGGATAGCCCCAGAAAGGACAAAGGAAATAAAGAATTACAAGCAGCCATTGTGAGTTGCTATGAAAACGTGGCATTGGGCATTGCAGCATTAACTCCAGCACTAACTGCAAGGACCAGGGCGCTTCCAGACTCCTAGACCCAGAGTTACACTTGCTCTTGGAGGCTGTCATTGCCTCACCTTCTTTTTTAAGCCTGGAATCAAAGGTCTGAAACCAGCTCACCATCGTTGTAGTCTTTGTGCTGCATGGAGACGTTGTAGCGCCGAGGGTAGGTCCCACCCTTCCCTGCCTTGTCATAGATCTGATTCTCACGGTCTGGAAGGAGATGCAAAGAGAGAAGTGAGGCTCCTTTGAAAAGCATACGCTCGAGTGACAGAATTTCCCTGTAAGAGCAGATTTTTTAGGAAGAGGTAATAAATAACTTTATCCATCAACACATGCCCAGTTCTATTTATACAATCCCAGCACACATGGAGGGTAGCCAGCAAATGGCAGAAGATGTCTGGGCCAAATAACCTTTAGGTCAGAGACTGACGTACCTGAGAACTCCTGTCTATTATCAGGAAAACTCTGTGCCCTTGACATCCGTGACTTCCGAAAAGAAGGACTGTTGAAGAAAGAAGGCAGGAGTAAGTTTTCCTGTCAGAGTAAAACCTACAAGGACTTCAAATACAATCGGTGACAGTTATTCTCAAATCTGTGTCCCTGCAGTAATTTCACGCTAAGCTAATCTGCAAAGCTAAAGCCAGGCTAAGCCCCAGCTAACCAGAGTATTTCCCAATGTGGGCAGCCACCCCTTCTGTTCAGCTTGTGAGTGACATTTATTCAGTGGTTCCCCAGTTTGTGGTATAAGACCCAGTGCTTCCCTCAGACACGTGAAGAGGAAGGTTAAAAGCAAGGCTAAGAGGAAGAGCAGAAGAGGGTACTGCTAGCAGCACAGTGCTCACAGGACAGCAGAGAATGAGTACTACTGCCCCCAGTGATTTACTGTGAGGGGGAAGAGCTCCTCAAGTGAAAAATTCTGTGCACCTTCCTCTCTACCAGCAGCACATGAGCCTAAGTAGCTGTTTATAACCCTCATGTTTCATCCTGGTAAGCAGGACTCCTCAGGCAAGCCTAAGTATGGCCCCTTGTTTGGCAGAAGGTCTTTAACATCTCTTAAGAGATTACACAAACTCCATCTGTGCCCAAGCCACCATTGTTCACACTGGGTTTTGTTAACCAGTGTAAATGCAGTAAGCCTGACACAGCTTTCAGACTCCCAAACCAGATTCCTTCCCTACTGCACAACAGTTTGCCCAGATGATGCCCACTCCTACAAGGAATAACCAGGAAGTTTTTTTTTTTAAAAAAATTCCTTCTCCACTTAAGGCAGGGAAAGGGGAGAGGACAGGCAACAAATTAGCCATGCCCCTCCACCATCCCCAGACAAATAAAAATAAATACCTACACACAGGCTAGCTGTGAGTGCTCCCTCGTGACTCCATGAACTGGAGGAAGTGAACTGCTACAAAACTAAACCTCAAGTGCTTGACACAAACCCATACCCTACCTACAGGAATCAGCTTGAAGGAATCTGAAAAACATGCTGAAGGCCACCATTACAGCTGCTGGGAAGTCACAGTGGCTACTCAAGTTAGTAAGACCTATAGCTGCCCACCAACACCTCAAGCAACAGGAAAGAAAGGGAGGGAAAAGATTTAAAGTATCTGATTATGGCAAACTTTTCATCAAAGGAAGAGCTTCTCTATTTACCTTCAGAATTAATATTATATCTTGCAGGACATAGGAATGTAAGGTAATGATATATTTCTGTAACCTTAGAATAGGTTATAGGGGTTTTATTTTGTTAAACGAACAAATACAGCCTTGTCTTTTTAAAAGAGATTTAAATACCCTGCAGCCAGATGTTCTTGGAGTCTTGGCTCTACACAGATGGCACACTTCAGAACTTTGTGTTTGTAATACAGAGCTACTGAAGCACCAGTTTTTGTTGGTGTATAGTTTTGACAGAAAATAAAGCAGCCTGAAGACAACAGTTAATTCTCGTATATTGGAATATAGGTAGGAAAGAAGTTCCTATTTATCTCTGAGAAAATTTATGAGATGGAAAACAGACTTTTGTGTAAGTACAACTGGCATTTCAATTTGAGCACATAAGCCCCCACCAGGCTGTACATTTGTACCTGTCTGCTGACCTGTCCAAGGACTGACAGCTTCCTGACACCGAGTTTTCAGCACTGCTTAAAGGGTCCAGCATCTGCAACACAGAAGAAACCACATGGTAACATCAGTTCAGTGTAATGCCTAAAAGAGGCTGTGCAAGAGGATCAGAGCCCACTACTGCTTGTCTGGAAGACGTCCAGGTGAAGAAGGGGCTCTAAAGCTATTTAGAATGTACATTTTTCCCTTTATCTCCCACAGAAATTATTAAGGACGTACCAAATTTGAGGCATTGCTTTAGGTGTCAAAGGACTCTGCTATGAAAAATGAAACTTTTAAGTCAGCCTTGTGCTGCATTTTGATCCCAAGTGACTTCAGGAACAGGTCTCTGCTGGTGCTGCTGCATTGCTGCCTCCACCTGCACGTCGCCCTTTGCCCTTATTTCCCACTTTGTTGAATGGAGAGCACAGTTTCAAATGCAAGAGGGTCACATGGATCTGGTAATAGGAAACCTGAGCATACATGTGTGACAGCAAACCCCTCATTCTGAGGTGGACAGACAATGCCCAATACACATAGCAACTGCTTCTGGCAGCCCAACAAAGGCTTTGAACTTAAACATCTACAAACAAGTCTGAAGCACAGTTTAAATGAACAAAGCAGTGCTACCAGGTGCCAATGCAACTGCAGCTAGGGAACATTCTGGAGTGAAAAAGAGAGCCCCGAGCACAGCAGAGAGTTGCTTAACAGCTGGACTAGGTGTTTTTCAGCCCAGTGCTCATACTTACACACTGTTCATTGGTCTCAGGGATGAACTCCCCCTCGCTGTTAATGCTGGTGTAGGAGCCCTGCCGAGCGATGCGCTGCTGCCGCTCCGGAACGTACCCCGGGGGGGGAGAGCTTCGGCCTGTGTTCTGGGAACCTGGGCCAGAGAAAGGGACAGCTCTCACATCCCTGCTGCAACCAGGCTGCACGTGCACATAGACAGCATCCAACTATCACCTCGAACACGAGTCCTCTATGATCACAGCAACTCTGCAGTGAACCTTACGGTCTGGACAGAAATGGAACCAGGAGGTGCCATGTCAAAAAGTAAAACATGTGACAAACACCTGTAATGACATTCTGGACACTGAGATTCTTGGTGAAGCTCCTGACAGAGCAGTCACCTAGTTCTAACCTCTTCTGCTCAACCTTCTGAGCAGAATTTCAGTATCTCAGGGATGATGGAGGACTCTGGGAATCCCTGGGCATGAACTTCACTGCTCGTCTCCACTAAATGAAACACTTGTCAGGGCAACCAATCTTCTGTCTGGATTCTAAGTTGGCTTCAACTGGTATCACTGACCTTGAGTGACAGCACTAGTCCTGCTAGTCATCATCAGCTGAGCCAATTATACTGGCACTCAGCAATCTCAGGATCACATGGAAACACTGTTGCCTCTGTAAATAACCCCCAAATTTCCATTTTACTGTGTGAAAAATGAAATTGCATTACTAGTTTGGGCAAAAACACATGGAGATCAATTCTGCAATTTCTGTCAATGAGACGAGCTGGCCAGATGGACAGACAGTATGTTCAGGGGCCAAAGGATGAGAAAAACATTTTACTCATCTGCTAATGCTACTATCTAAAGAGTTTCTGTTGTGCTACCTGCTGAGAGAAACCTCACCCTGAGGGATTTTTTTTTTCCTTGAAGATGATACTTCAGAAACAAGAAGATACAAAATCCCTTTTTGCAGTGACCTATCCACCTGCAGCTCCCAAGTCACACTGTGAGCTCCAAGAAACGTTGTGGTCCAGGCAGTCTACTCAAGGTCACCCATGAAGTCAGAGACAGCATTTTATGATCAGGTCTCAAGCTGTGTTCCTCATGATGCTGTCTTTAATTAACTGTGTGTACTCAGGTGCTATCAAAGATGAGTAAAGATCAACAAACACTCTCCCAAGGAAAATATTTTCTAGGGAAGTTATTGTAACAAAGAGCAACGGCGAATATTGGTAGGAGCTGACTGAAAACCAGCACACACCTTTTAGAGGACTGCAGAAGGAAAAAAAACCCCAATGCTGGCATGGCTTCGGAGTGCACGGAGGGGTGAGCTCCATGTAAAAAGTAAAACTCTATCGCTCAGAGCCAGCAGCTGATTTTCTGAGTGGCTCCATGGGGCTCACGTGACGTCCCCAGCCCAGTGGTGTGGGGATAAACAGGCGAGCGTGCCCGGGGCTGCCCCAGTCCCAGGGGAACACTTTCACTCCTTCCGACCCCATGCCAGGGCTGGCCAAAGGGAGCCCGAGTCCCGCTGGCCCCGGCCCAGCCGCTATTGTGGACAGGCACCATCGCTGGGCAGGAAAAGGAAGCCAGCACTAAATCAATGTATATCAAAGGAAGTGAGTGGAAAAAACACAACTGCTGCCAGAATGCTTAGTGACTTTTTTTTTTTTTTCTTTTTTAAAATAAAAGTTATCTTCACTTCCAAAGCTCTGAGCTGGTGGCAGCAGGCTTGAGGCCCGTCCACTTTAGAAGACAGGAACTACACAGATGTATCTGCTGCGTGCAAACAGCTTTTGGAAATGCTGCTTTGGACTCTCCTTGCATGACGTGGTGTGCACAGGAAAGTCTCTAGGCCTGAGACACTGTGGAATGGGCAGCGTCCAAATCCTTTTCCAAATCAAAGGTAGGAAAAGAGAAGGAAGCAGAAATTGATTCAAGACTGAGCTGCTGCCAAATTGCCATCAGACCTCTGACAGAACTGGAACTCTTCTAGACTTAATAACGTGGTACATTGACATGTTCAGAAAATAAACCCAAGGCTTTCTTGATTGATACATGTCAGGCTACTCAGAAAGCAACCATGAGCTGGGCTAAGAGGAAAGTCTGTACAACTGGGATGCAGAAGGGGCCCCTTATTACTCTACAGTTTACCCACGACAGACACTCGGTACAGTCTGTTAGCTTTGGCATCATTGTTTGGATACCTCAGAATGCCAATAAAGGAGAATGATTTTTTTATTTTTTTAAAATAAAATGTTTTTGGCGCTGAATTTGTCTGTGAAAAAAGAGACATGGTGTTCAGACGTGCATGGATACTGCTGCCATCTTCACAGGACCAAGGAATGTTGCTCATTTTACATGTGTTAACTTCACACCAGAAAGGATGGGAAAACTCTTTTTGTCCCACTTCCAGTCACATAATTCACAAACTTTCAGCACTTCTTTGTTTGTTTGCTACTTCATAAAAGCAAACTGTACAAGAGGGGATTGGCAGACTCTAGACAGGATAGAAGCAGGTTTGCTAGACAAGTGTAGCACTGAGAACTACTGCTCTAGTTCTCAAGAAGTTCCTTTGGTGTGGATCTGACTCTGGTTTAGACCCCTCAATATGAAGAGTGTCTGTTCTAGTTTAATCAGATTTATTATTTGATGCTAAGATTGCATTGCAAATACTGATCTAAAATCCTGTAATGATTATGCCTCATGTTTGCACAGTAAATGCAAGTGAAGCACTCCTCTTGAACAGAGGGAGCTGGTTTAGAACTTGGAAACAAAACAACACTGACATTCCCAGCTCCTAGTACAACCCTCGTGATTTGCAGCACTTGTCAGTTGAAACATTAGGTCTGACAAGCCCTAAAATAGCTGTTGTAACAAACACAGCCATCCTCTGCTTCTGATTCCTGCAGAATTTAGCTTTTTACCCTTCTAAAGCAAAAGTAATTTGCTGAAAACACCATCATAGATAGAACCACAGAACATGAAGGCTCTAGCCTTCATACTGCAGATCCTCATTATTGCTTTCCCTCTTCCTGCTCTTTCACTGCTGAGTTTCACACCAAGGAGCCAGATTCTAAACCACAGACTTTTTTCATTTGACCCATAAGTTATTGAAGCAATTTTGCATGTTTTAGTTTCTCATATAAGAAGTTAGCAGCTTTGAGCATCCTTCAACCACTGATTTGAATAGTTCCACACAGCCATACAGGGGGTTTTAACAGAGACACTGGGACAACTCAGACAAATCTACCAGAGATAGAAGTCATAAAAAATTACAGGAGTGTTACATGAAGCTTTCCACTAAACCTAAGTTCACTAAGCTAACAGAAACACAAAGGAAAGGAGTCAAAGGTCTGTGTTACTCTGACTTTTCTCATTATCTCTTGTGCAGCTGTGCCAGTCACTATGACAGCAGCCTTGTGCTCTGCTCATCTGGTAACTGTGAGAGTGAGAGGTTAGGGAGCTCGATGTGCAGGGCACTGTTTGGTTATGCAGTGGCAATTCCTGTGCTACCAGTGAAATGCTTGATGACAGCAGTGAGGACAGATTCCAAAGCCCAACATGAAAAAAAAAAAAAAGTAAAAAAGAAAAATCCAATCTAGGTTTCATGAACTGAAATTGCCAATCTAAATAAAAAGCTTAATGGGCTCACGTAAGCTTTCCAAATTTCTAACCTCAATGAATCTGGCTGTAGGACATCCCCTTCAGCAGCTCCTCAGCTGTTCAACAACTTAGTAAGGAACTTTGAAACATTCTACTGTAAACATATTAAGAGCTTTTGAAAATGAACTGCCTTGTCCCAGAATAACCTTTCAATTTCTCATGGCTTTCATAAATGCTATACCATAAACACTAGTGCCCAGAAGATTACATTTCACAAAAGAAAGGCAAGCAGAAGTGGCAGAAATACTCACTGACAGACAGATGCCTACTTCTGGGCTCTGGCTGCTGATAGGGTGTGCTCACATCCCCCACAGACTGGGAAGTTTTAATCCTGACTTGTTTGGGCAGTCCAGAATGGGGTGAAGAACTGGTCTGTTGGGTAAAATAAAATAAATAAAATAAGACTGAGGATTTCAAGTAGTCTGGCCAGAGTTTCAAAAATATTATGTTTAGTAGCAAGGAAGTAGCTGAGAAACAGTTCTCGAGCCTGAAATCTTATTAACTTCACAGAACACAAACAATAAAGGCAGCAAAGGAGCAAGCTTTACAGTTATGGTGTAAAACAGGAGTCGAACAACTAGAGCATGCTACTCTCCAGCCTCAACCTGAATGCAGGATTTACAAGTCTCAGTGTTTGTCTTCCATTAGCAGAGACCCACAAAACCAACAAGATAGAACTCGAAACACTCACTGAGACCAGCCCATGGAAGAACCTACAATTTCCACCAGCCACCTTGGCCAGCAGACACATTCTGAATCTTGCACTCTTTAGAAGCACTTAAACAGCAACCTGACTCCCCACGATCTTTAAAAAGTAAACTGATGATTCAGCCTGTCCAAGTGAAAATAAATTCTGGAGAGTTTAAGAGTACAAAGAGTTTGGAGATCCCACAATGAATCCTGCTTGTGTTGCTCTTATTCATCCTTCCCTGAACGTACACAGACATAATCAAATTAAAGATCATTTTTCCACAGTGCCTTCACCTCATTCAAAGCAGAAAGAGGAATGAAAGGAGACACATCAAAGGACTTCTCCCCAGTTTGCTGAGAAAGACAGAAGGGAGCACTCCAGCAGACTTTGCAAGAAGAGGAGCTGCGGGATGGTTTTGCAATTGAGGGCAGGAGGATACTCCCCAGGAGCAGCGTTGTCCTCCTTGTGCAGCACTTCTGCACAGTTCTGCCACGAGAAACTGCAAGGCCATGTCAGGTTCCAGTGGGGGCTCACCTGGAAATACTTTGGGTGCAGGCAGCTAACACCTCTGTGCTCTCCCTATGGATGACACAGGGACTGAGCAGGACACCCAGTACCTGAGGATGGTGCACAAAGGTCTGAACGAGCAAAATACTGTGAACTTCCAGCCTCCCTCAAGCAAATTAGATCCTATGCCTTTCAGAGCAGGTGCTCAGTCACAGTGGACACTTTCAATTTTAATCCTCTTGTCCCAAAGCACCTTGTTTTACAAGAGGCTATAAGATTCCCTTTCTCTTGTGTGCTACAGAATTTAACTAATGTTAACTTATTTTACTGAGATGAACAATACCCCAAGGAAATTAATTCTGACTTCTGAAAATTATTTGAATATGACTGGCAAAAAAGGTGTGAGGCCACACAATCAAAAAAGTGAAGTATCGAATAGCTGCTCATTTAATAAGCTCTTACCCTTGCAGAGAGTAAGAAGGAGCTCAATTTAAATGACAAACTCTACTGTGAGCAGGTTCATGGGAGCTGAATAATGGGTGCAGAGGTCACTCCATTTATGTGGACAGTCTGGCTTTAGTACTCTAGGTGTTCAACTTAACCAGTTCTTCCCATTAGCTTCTAGACACAAAGAAAGGACTGACAACAGAAGTGAGTTGCTTGATAAAAGAAAGCACAAAGGAGCCACAGAGAGAGGCACAGGAAAATTAATATAAATGCTATTCACAAACACAGGGTCTCAGTACTAGTCACACAGCTACTGCTGTAAAGTTAATTGGGTTTATACAGATATTTGTGCCAGAGCCACGGCATTACCTTTCCATCCCCAGAAAAAGAAAAGAGCACAACCAAAACAAAATCTGCATCCTGTACTTCAGGAAAAATAATGCTTCCCGCTCCCTCAGTGGGATGAGATCATGCAGCCAAGAAACCTCCTTCGGACCTGTGGGCTTTTGCTTTATCACATGTAGGGCTCTCCTGTCAGGCAGCTCAGAGCTGGAGAGGAAGTCGGAGGAGAGGGGGGGAAACAGTGGCACTTACTGAAGACTTTGCTGTTTGTTTCTGCTTTGAGCAAAAGAGGAAAAAACAGCTAATAAAAGGACAACACCACAGTACTGGCTACTGGCTGGTGAAGGGATAAGATTTACTAAGTGATTATTGTAGGCACATTATGTAAAATTTAGATGGTATCATTCCACATCTGGTTTGAAGTCTGAAGACAACGAAATTAAGGGAGGGCTGTAAAAGAGGATGGTTTTACTGTGTTGCAGCAAAAGTTGAGGCCACCTTTTGAGGCCTGTTTCCTGAAAACAGAACAAAGTCTGCCTACACTAGGTCAGACTAAAGGCCTTCTTGCCAAGTACTGTCTTCAGAACAGCCAGTAACAAACACTTAGGGAAATGGGATAGGACAAGGAACAGCATCATCCCCTCCTACACCTTGCCAGCTTTCAGCATCCAGTCATTTGGAAACGGGTTATTAACACTCCTGAAGGTCTTTCTATTAACATGGATTATGAAATTCAAAACTAGTGAGAAGTATATTAAAGTTCTCCTGACAGTTCCAAGGATTACAGGTGTGATTATTCCAAGAGTTGGAGCTCACAGCCTGCAGAACTTGAGTAGATGAACACTCAAGACTGACAAGCTTCTGCTAATAGAGCTTTCAAGACAGAAAATCTTTTTTGTGCCACACTCTTCAAAAGAATTTGTTCATTTGCAAATAAGATATCTAAGCTATCAAGGTCTTTGGCTTGAAAAGCTGCACGACCTTAAGTCTGAAAAAAAAAAAAGTCATTCGTTGAGTGAAAAAAGTTCCTCCAGTCACAGATCAGGAATTAGGGAAACTTTTGATGCTTTCTGCCCTCTTCCACTTGCAGTTCAATTCACTGCCCAAAACGAGCAGCTTTGGGAGCTTGACTTAGAGACTTGCTTCTCATGTTATGATCTTTTCTGCTGAAAAGTGTGAACTACATGGACACTCACTGCCACAGCCACCTGTGGTATAGAAAAGTGAAGCAAGACACAATCAAATTGAACTTAGGTGTGAATACACCACTATTAACTAGAAGCAACTGAGTTTCTACAGAGTAAGGCTGGATTCAATGCAGTAGGCTACAGAACTGGAAAATCACTAGGAGCTGTCCTCAGGCATCTCACCCAGGAAAAAAATGCTAATAGCTTGTCTTCAAGGACAACCTGTGTTCTCCTAAAGGCAAGATAATTATGTGCACTTTCAACACAGTGCTATTAATCAAAGGTAAAAAAACTTTTCAGTGAACCAAACTCATTAAGTGTTTTCTGAATTGGGTACTTGATATAAAATGGCCTTCATAGTACAGCTTAAAAAGCTGCAACATCTCAGACCCTGAACAGCTGCTGAAGCCAGGAGAAAAAGAAAAAAAAGAGATACCTATAGCTAAGCCAAAGCAGAGGGGACAAACACAGGCATTGTGTCTGTGAAGAGTGATTTTACTAATCCCTGCTGCTCCCAGATAAGGCCACCACCATGTTTCAGAGACTTAAGAGTAAAAACCTTCATTTTGCTGCAGTCACAGAAGTTGTTACCTACATGGTTTCTGTCCTGAGACAGCAATAATATTCTAAGGCTTTTCACATTAGAGCTTCGGTCTAAGAGATCTACTGCTTTATCCAGGTCATCTTGATTTTTCAAAGGAATAGAGAGCTGCAAAATAAAGAACAGGAAAAATATTCATTAGAAAAGACAGCAAAACGAAGTCTACTTCCACAGGAGGTATTTAAATAAATATTAGAAAAAGAAAAAAAATCATCATAATATGAGATAGGATTCCAATTGCTCAATTATTCAAAAAAATTTTCATTACAGTACTGTCTTACCATCTTTTTTAACAAGGTTTTCCTCCTGCCATCAGAGAAATGGCTGACCCTATGCACATTTCTCTAAGGCACCATCCACAAAAACATTAATTGCTACTTCATTTTGCTCTTTGCAAAGAACAAGTCAGAGACAGGCCCCTGACTCCCTGGTGAGAACATTGTCTCAGAATACTTATGAATCCAGACCTAACGATTAAGTGAAAATTTGGTTTCAGATAGAGACTAGTGTGGAGAAGATTAAAACTTTGAAAGAGGGAATCAAAAGAGAATTTAAAACTTGCTAGTAAGACCCCATGACACTATGCTCAGACACCCTCTACTCTACAGCCCACTCACATCTCGAAGTGTGAATGTTATTAACAGTGAAGAACCTCTTTCATTTTTGTCCAGCTTCCCTGGTCAAAGGGGTTTTGCACCTCTCTCTTTACAGATGCAGTCCTGAACAGCAGAAATGACTCTGGGACTGCCTGCAGTCCTCAAGACTGCATATGTAAATATATCTATATTTGTGTGTGTGTGTGCATATATATTTATATTAGCCTGCCATAGTTGCTTTCAACAGTCACAATACTCTGAATGCTTTTATTTACTTCCCCAAGAGAGTCTCCCAAACAGCACCAGTATGAGGCAGCAAGATGCTGCTATCTGTACAATGCACATGCCAGGGTGATGATGTGTCAGTGTCAGCATGTTTTCTTCTGGAGCAGAGTGATTCACTATGGTTTGTATTAGAGGGAAACACTGAAAATTCAATTTAAGGGCACAGAATTTGAGATGGGAAATGGAGCAGTCATCCAGAGGGAGTGTTCTGAGCACTGGTAACAACACTGTACCTCATTGTTCATGTAGTGGAGGTCCAGGGGCTGCCCAAAGGCTGTCTTCACTTTCTGCTGCACGTCTTCATAGCGCACGGGACGGACAAATGGGATAATTCTGGAATGGAAGAGAATCACTGCTTGAATTCAGAGACATACTTGATAATGCAATCAAATTAGAAGACCAAACCATTAAAACTGCATTTGAATATTCTCCTTCCATCCTCAAGCAGGTCAATAACCTTTCTAATTTGCATTGATACTAATTATTTTAGCAAGGACTTCTTGATCTCTGACCCATTCCCAAATGGTTTGTCAAAATGCAATATTCGGCTGAAGATTTCAAACAGAACCCCTCTGTTCCTGGAGAGAAAAATATCATTTACTAAATAAATGTCTTTCTCATAACAAGGTACAAGTCTCTGTGCATTTGGCTTAAAGAATACTGCCTCAGGCACAAAACACAAACAAATACATTCAGCAAGAGCTGAACTAAAACCTGCAGAAGGCCCAAAGAACAAAAAATGTATTTACTTTAAGTATTCCAGTCCCTACACTCAAAACTCACTCCTTAAAAATTTCCAAACCTCATTCCAGTTGAAAGGTTTCAACAAACATTCCCAGAGCAAAGTTAGCCCCGGATTGCTGAGGGAAGCATCAGCAAGAGGACACAAAGGGATCCAAATCCCCTCTTTAGCAAGACTGGTCTGTGATGTTAGCCCCACGTTAGCCCTCGGAATGCTCAGCTCAAACATCTCCAAACATCAGAATCACAGACTCCCCATGCTGACTCTGCAGCTATACTCCAAACCCTGCACTGCACAGCAGGGGCTTTTTACCAAGAGTTGAAGTCAAACCTAACTCTAACTGTGTGTTTATCACTCACAACTTACTTTAATTAAAAAAGAAAAGCTAATTATTTTTTTAAATTACAGAGGCCAAATTGATCAAAACTGAAATACTGCTTCAGCTGTAACAGCAGAGGCAGAGCTGACTTGCAAAAATTTGGATTATTCGTATAAGTCAGATCTCTAAGACAGAATATTCACATCAGATGGATCAGTCTCATACTCTCTTGTTTCTCCCTCATGAGCATTTTTCACATGTAACACATCTCTGGGCACCTTCACCAACTGACTGACACCAAATATGCACAGATGTCAAAAATTCTGATTGCTTTCCCTGGGCCCAGACCTTATGACACTCAACCCCCTGTTCCAGCACCCGGTCGTTCCCTTGCCAGCTGAATGGCAGGAGTTTTAGATTCACACACACAAAGGGCCTCAAGAACTCCAAAATGGCTCCAGAAAGGCTTCCCTGGGGAACCCTGCAGAGTCCTGTGGCACACACATGCTTCTCAGAAAATGGCAGCATACTTTTCTCTGGGTTTATTACTGTTTTGCCTACCTTGGAATAGAAATTCTAATGTTTTAGGCAAAGTAGTAATATGAAGTTCCAGCAAAGCATCTAAAACTGTTTATTTTCCTGGAATGTTCTTCTGTAGGAAGTTGCCAAGTACTCAGTAAGCTGCTACCTTGACAGCCATGGAAAAAGATGATTTTCAGAAGAATCAGCAAGTCCTGGGTCAAGAATTGGAGGATTCGAGTGTGAGCTACAGTTTACAACCCCCTGTTCTAGCACACCAAGCACATCTACTGCTCAGAAGCCCACTTTGCATCTCTGTGCTGCACAAGACCCAGATGGTTGGTTGTTCCTGCTTTTGGGCTCCTGCAACCAGACTTCTTGTCATCTGCTTCCACGTGCCACAGGACCACGCTGTGGCTCCACTGCCAGCAGCTCTGGGACACAGCTGACACCACATGTTCTTACACCACTTCCAGAGCTGCTACCCCACTGCTGCACCTTGAAAGAACTCTGCCACAGCTGAAATACTACCATAAAAAGCTTGATTATTAGCACACTTCACAACTTTGCCATCAGGCAGAACTAAAAGACCTGAATGACCACAGACTCGAGACCCGTCTTGCTCAAAGGGGCAATGCTCAGAGCTCAGTGAGGCTCTGAATCACCTCTGGGAAGCTCAAGGAGCTTGGGAAGCTCGTGCTGAACCTGTGCTTTGGATAGAAGGCTGAGTTTCCGTCATGTCCATCCAGGCTGCTTCGCCAGCACTCGCTATCCTTGCAGGACACACAGCTTTTGTTTTAAATAGCTCCAGTGTTAGCTGGCTTCCTTAACTCCTTCCCAGGAAGGGTTCATCTTGCTACCAGACCTACAACGTTCAGCCATTTAGCAATAATTGTCCTTGTTAAAAAGCAGCCCACAATAACATTTTCTACACATTACTAAGAAACCCATCCATGAAATTATAGTACCCTGGCAGCATACAAACCTAATTTAGCTCTCAGTTGAGCCGAAGTCCCTTATAAAGGCTTCCATTCTACACTCCATGCATTAAAAAGCAGAGCTGTTCTCAGGTGCCACAAATTCTATTAGTTTAAAAACTCCGTGCGCTCTTCTAACACAAAATCATGGACTGCAGGGTTTAAGGAGCCCATTCCTGCCTGACCACCTTAAATATTTGTGGTTAGGTCTGGCAGCTCCTCTGAAACCAAGCACACACACTTGCATTCTCGGAGCTAGCTCGCTGTCTGTAACTGCATTCCACTCTGGAAATGGGGAATTCAGGAGAACGTAACTGCATAATTAGACTAACACACAATCAACCTTTTCATTTTAATGTTACTTCAGAAAAAAAACCAAACCTTTCTTCTCCCCTGAGCTCTGTGCCATCTAAAATGCTCCCAGGCAGGAGCCATGCAAGACGATAGGACTGTGGGGTGACAACATTTTGCTTCCAAGTTACCTTGTCCTGAGATGGTATCACAAGAAACTGCAACGTGTTGCACACTGGCTCTGTTGTAGCTCACACAATGCCTCTGACACAGTAGAGTGCTGAGAAGATCTGGCTGACAAAGGCAGCAGTAGATCCCAGCTCTGAGTACTTTTAAAATTTCTCCATGAGGATCAAAAGTCAGGGTTTTTTTCAGTGACAGAATTCACCATATAGGACTGCGGTGAATGAAGCCACTCAATTTGTGAGGAAGACTTTACAAATTATTCTCTGCTACCTGCTCTACCAACAAAGAATACCTCTGCTTTTCCATTTGAACAAAAATCCCTGAATTTGACAAAGAAGGATACTGGAGGAGGAGTTTAGGCAGCTCAGCCAGTGACTTTTGCTATGAACAGGCTGTTAGGATCACAACATAGAGCTTGAGCTGTTGTACTATCAACATTAAATTTGCATTTTATCACAAAACTGTGAACTACTACTGTCTGAGATGGGAGAAACCAAAGGATTCCCACAGGTTATCCATGAAGAACAGCATATAAATTCATGCTTACAATCCAATCAATTTCTGAAAAAAAAAAAAAAAAAATGAAAACTGGAACCCAGCATCAAGATCCCTCTTCTCTCTCAGGCAGAGCAGCTTCAAAGGGGCTGCAAACAAGCTTGGAGCCTTCATGTATGTTCACACAGCCACCCAACAGCCCTAACAGCATCAAGAGTTCCTCTCAATTAGATGGCAAATAAGGGGGTTTTGATACCTATTTTCAAATGTCAAGGCAATTTTATCCCCTGCCAACAATAGTGTGAATGCTGCAAACGCTAATACAGTTCATTCTGATTTTTGTAAAAGGTCTCTCAAAACCAAGTCACAGAGGAAATAACAAAGAAAATTTTAGACCAGTGAAAAAAATCTTCCCTTGCTCTATCTGTTGCTCAGTCACAGCAGGACAGTGACAGTGGCAGGTCATCAGGAAGTGAGAAACTAGAAAAGAATGGTACTAATTTGATCAGTTTTGTTTGGTTTTAGTTAAAGGAAACACAAAGGGAACAAATCTGAAATATGACTATTGGGCTGAACTCATTTCAGGCTGGACAGCTTTTTGAGTATTACTGCAACTCACTTTGATTTATGGAAATAAATCAAAGCACTGTACCACACACTGATTTTTAAAAATAACCAAGTTGAGTATGACCTGTTTGCTATTGCCTTTACTGTGTTTTTCATTCTGGAACAAGGAAAGTGAAGCCAACAGAATATTTCACTTAAATTACTGATGACTAAGTCATTCCACTAAGCAAAGAACCAAAGTAGTGAAGACAGACTTACCGTCTTTCCCCATTATGTTCAAACTTTATCCTTACATCATTCTGCAGAAGGAAGAACAAAAAGTTTGTTCACAATGAAACTCTGGCATACGTAATAGCACACAAATGGATCACAGTATGAATTTAAGGCCCAAACACAGAGCAGGTTAATTTGTGACTGCAGTTGGCATCAGCTCCTCAGCAGGCCAACCCAAACACAAGTCTGAGTAACCTTCTCCACAGACACTGGAGCAGACAGTGGACAACAAGGGGCTGATATGTAAACACAGCACCATGAGGAATGGAGAAATTGCTAAAGGAGAAGAAGAAAAGGGGCAAAACCTAAGCTGTATGTTTTAACTGTCATTTAGACATAGGACACTGAAATAGACTTTAAGGAAAACTGATCTATATTTAACACTGGATGGCAAAAATGTCAAATTGAGTCCAACTTCATCTTCAACTGAACTGAAGCTGGTTTTCTTTGGGCATTCTCACAGCAAGCACATTTTCTTCTATGGCAAAAAAGAGACAGGGAGCCTGCAACATTCCTCATTCTTAGGATACAGACTAAATCTCTGCTTTTGCAAAAATGCAGCCCTTGAAACCCAAGCTAGGAAGGTAGAAACAAGTTAACTATGTGTCATGTTTTAAAGTGCAAAGGGGTCATTGTCCATAGGTGGCAGATGGCTAAGAGCACTGCCTGTGTAACCTGTGCCTTCCCTGCACGCTCAGAAGATGCTGTGTGGCACGGAAGAGTCAACGTGTTGAACTTTCAACTCTGCAGATCAAAGTTCAAATCCCAATTTAGGTCAGAAAGATAAAAATAAAAGGGAAAAAATCTGCTCTGATAAGACTCCATCATTTCTGCCGCACGATTTATGTGATTGGAGTAGATTAAGCCATCTGTGAAAGCTGTAGACAATAGGCAATCATACATCTAGGAACTTCAAAAAAACGTGGCCAGGAAATGCTCTTTAGCTAGAGGAAGTATCTGGCAGGCCGAGTGGTCAGGAATGCAGTTCAAAGGGACCCAGCAAGCCCTGCGAGCACCCGGGATCCCTGCAGCAGCACTGCAGGTACAGCCCTGACAAAGGAGCTGCCCTCCAGAGCAACCAGCATCTGCAGGGGGGGGAGTTACACCTCACCCCACCAGAGACACTTCCTCAGATGGGAGAAGAGAAAGAATTGCTCTAGAATGACACCAAAATGAAGCAAAATCTAGAGAACTCTTTTGAATTGAGTAAAGGGAAAATGCAACAAACAGCAAAGGAGTAGTAAGCTATAAAAAATATCCACCAGCCAACTCCTAATGGAATAGTTGTTTCTTAGAGATAATGGAAAGAGAAATTATTCTTTTATATTAGGATTTTCAGTGAAAAAAGGCTCTGGGTTTTTTTAAGCTATACTATTATAAGTAGTCCAGCCTAAGGGAAATAAATAAAACTAGTTGGATGAACTTAAATTAATTTTTCAGATTAAATTTCTGACCTCAAGATGTGGTTTAGGTTATGGAACAGCTAAGTGACAAAGCTCTCATTAGCTAAAATTAGACGATGCAAAGAGCTTCAGGGCACTGTGGAAACCTTTTTTAAACTTAAACTGCTGGCACCTAAGCAAACTACAAGATCTTTATCAACTCCACTGCATGCTTCCCAAGCTGTAATTTGTAACAAAGAGGGGGCAGCGTTTGGCACCTCATGATAACTTTTCCAAAAGGATCAAACACTGGCCAGTTGTGCCTATTTTTCAAAGACCTAAGAAAATATCTTCAATGTGGTCTTAGTGCTGAAATGTCAGAGAACCTAGAGGAGTTAAACATCTAGTGCCCTCTGTTTCCTTTGAAGACATTGAACCTCTCACCTATATAAACCACTTTTTAAAGCCACCCACATAAACTATCCTAAGAGATGAGTGAGAAATCAAATCCAAGTTTAGTGCTTCAGTGTTCCAGTTCTGTGATGCAATATCATAAATAATGATTACAGATTCTGATTTAAGACATTTCTGAATTTATGTTTCAAAGTCCTTTGGGAAGGATTTTGTACTACTCCATCTATGGATTTGTCCAGCACATTTGAGGAAATCCCAGATCCCAGCTGAACAAGTAGATTACCAGCAGACAAAGCACAGGGAAGAGACAGACAGGAACTTTAAAGCCTGCTCCAAAAAGCTTAAGCCTGTAATAAGGATATAACTGGAAAGAGTTATTTTACTGATATGGGCAACTTCTGCTGTTAACCTTAGCCTAACTGCAAGTAGCTCAAATTTATTTTTTAGGACAGTAACAGACAAAGAATTCTTGACTAAAATTGTTGCTTATGCACTGAAGTATTTAATTCAAATGATGTGCAGCACACACTGACAGAGTGACATTATTCTGCCCTTTCCTTCTACTAGAAAGACAATGCAATAGCCTTCATTAAAAAAAGTCTCTAGCAATATAAAATGAACCTAGAGATGTTTCAAAGTATTGACCCTGCCACTTATTACCCTGGGCAAAGCATTTCTTTCAGGAAATGGACCTCACATCCCCATATCCACATCAGGGTTAGTTTCATTCTCATGACATATGACCAGACACCAGCCAATCCCCTGTTAAGGATGCTGCCTCTGCTCAGACACCTGTAAATAACTGCTCCCTTTTCCCTGAAGCAAGGTTAAAACAGTTTCCCTAAAGCTGGTCCTTCCAGACAACCCCCTTCCCTGTTCTTGGATCAACTCCCAGCTGACTGCTTTTAATTGGGATCTTCACTCTGAATTTACACACAGCCCAAAACCTGTGAGGAGGAGACCAGCATTAGTTCATTATCTGCATTATGCAGTTTTAAACTGCAGGGGCTTTCTGTTGCATCAGAAATAGAAATATTTGTTTCCTTCTCACCATTAGACTTCTCAGCTTCCTGCTCTGAGTCTACGTATTATGTCCACTACAATAAAAACACATCATACCACTACCCCACGACAGTCAGGACAGAAAAGCTTTCCTGGCCTCCCACACCTGCTTCAAGTTCTATAAAGGTCACTGCACGCAACTTTAAAACATATTCTTAATTTCTAACTGCTAATATTGACTAAGAAACCACTTTTCTTACCGGGATTTTTTTTTCTTCCACTGCAGAGGCACACTGGGTGGTTATTGCAGGGCTGCCCAAGAGGGGTGGACTGCTGGCATTGTGTTTTTTCTTTAAAAATAAAAAAGACATTTAAAAAAAAAACAAACAAAAAAACAGCAATATGATCATGAAACCAGCAAACCACTTGGTAAATTTTTTATCTGATCTACACAGAACAAACCCCACCAAAAACAGACGTGGGAGGAAAGCAGAACATAAGATGTTACAAAGAGCAAACTTTTAACCCTGCCTACATAAAGGTAAGGAAATAAAAAAGCTCCCACGTTGGCAGTGCAGCCTGAGGAGAAGAGGGAACTAACCCACTTGAGATGCTTTGGCTATCAGAACAGGACAGAGGCAGCAGACCCACCCTCACCCTGCTCTGCCCCTTCTGCCCCCAGGGAACCATTCCAAGTGCTCATTGAATGGTCTGTTACCTGTTTGTTGGAGTGAGCAGTGTCTTTATTCTTCATGGTATCATATCCAGTCAGTCTGTGACGTCGGCTCATCTGGAGTGCTACCAGGTCCTTCATGATGGATTTCAAGGCCTCTTGTTCATCTGGAATGCACAAGAATTTTAGTGGTAAAATTTTAGGATCAACTCTAACCCTTCTGCACTGGTTTTCTCAGTGCCTTATAGAACGACAACCCTTTTTAGGATCTCTGCAACACACTAATTTCTCCCAGTCATAAAAAGCCCAAACTCAACCCACCACCACGAAGTAGTAACAAGACAGATAAATTTTAAGTCATTTGTCCAATGTCACAGAAGGATGTGACCACAGTAAGGCTCAGAATCAGTATCACCAGCCCCTGGTTCTGCTCAAAGCACTTCACAACAAACAGTACAACTTGGATAGATTTGCTAGATCATCACAGGTCATTTAGGAAGGGCTTTCCTGCCAAGGAAAGCCCGGTAAGAATCTGTCCTTTCCAATTTTATATCCTGTCAGCTTCGAATTCCTGCTTGCTAGCAGAACAAACCATGGCCAGCAGAAAGAAAAATGAAAATCTGGACAAAGAGTCATCTCAGAACATCTCTGGATTCCAACTCGCTTTCGCCAGTTTCCCCAACACATTCCTCTCTTCCCCCAAAACAGGCTGATAGAACAAAGTTCAAACCATTTTATGAGACTTCAAGATCTACTGAGCAGATTCAAATCACACAGCACTAAAACACTGTCTGCTGGTGAAGTACAATGCAGCGGGTTCAATTCAAGGCTTCCTGCAAATGCAGGAGAATAAAAAATATGCATTGAAGAACTTCTTATATGCACTACTGGCTGGAAATTACTTTCTGAAGCTAAGATCCCTGATGTAACCAATTTAAAGAGTTCTTCCATTGCTTGTTAGCTTTGAGAAGTGACATTTAACAAAACTTTGTATGAAACCTAAAGAAAAATTGGGAGAAATAAGGAGAGAAATGTATAGTAGATGGGCTGTGATGATGCTACCACAAAGTAAGGCATCTAAAAGCTACTGAAAGGCTCCTTCACTTCTGCAAGAATAATAATCCAAAGTCCCTTGATGCTGCAAAAGGTAGAAGAAGCTGACACGGGCAGTTTGGTACAAGATGGGACTGTGCTGGCTGCTTTGCTTCCAGGCCCTGTGCCACCAGCAGATGCTGTCAGAGGATCTGCTAGTGGCACCCTCGTGCCCACTGGATTGCTGAGCTGCTGTCTCCAGACATTTTAAGGACCAAGCATTGTCTTCTTGGGAAATAACACTCCCAGTTAAACCCTTTCTGATACTGAGATGCAATTTAGGCATGAAATTTGAACCAGAGATTTAACCAGCTCTGAACATGCTCAGAAGAAGAATCTTCTAAAAGAGTCTGGTTGGACTTGACCATCAGTTTGGATGTAAATTTTTGTTATTACAACTGGAACTTCTGGAAGCAGTAGCTGGACAGAGAAAGTTATCACATCCCAGCTCATCTGACAGAGTCAGGTGCACAGTGCTCAATACACCAGAGTCCTCCTGGCTTCCCAAAGCCCTTCAATGGATCAGTTTGAGATGCTTAAATTGAAACAAGCATCTCTGAGGCTGATTTGTAAGTGACTAAAGCTCGATTTGAAAAATCCAGCATAGCCACATGTTTGTTTCTGTTGTGACACTGGCTGGGGTGGGTAACACCTTAGATTTGGAAGCAGTGCCCTGGGAATGGTTGCTGCACGTTAAAGGAGGGGTTGTCTCACATCTGCATTTCCCTGTGAAGGGGACTCCCTGGTACAATTTGTTTCTTTAATTCCATGTTAGGCATTTGTTCCTGTCTCTCCATGAAGTTTATGTTTTATGCAGAAGACTGGGTTCATAATCAATCCATGTCTGAATAAGAAACTAGGTTTTCACACTGCTGAAGCATGACAGATGTGGGACACATACAGCTTCCAATGAACCCCGGGAGCAGATGTCACCAAAATGTATAAATAAAAAGGGGCAAAAGTATCAGTTTGTAAGGGGGCAATACCTGAAGGAAGTCCCAGTCAGGACAAAAGTCACAGCAATATTATTTTTGGTACAACCAATAGTCTCTGCCCAGAAGACCTGTTTTAGCTTTCTGAGATTACTGGACACTAGAGAAGAGGAACTTCCACTATGGACCTCATGATGTACTCCCAGGAAAAGAGAAACAACAGGCCTAGGCCAGATGATAGATGGGAATGGAAAGAAATCTCCCAAAGCATATGCAGAAGGTGTTAATTACTGAGTAAAACTCTTAAAAAAGGAAAGCAGAGCAGAGCAAATAAAATTACTTAAAAAAACCCAAAGTGAAACCCACCAAACCTCTGCTGTCCAAGACAAGCCAAATGAGACAATAACCACATTGTGGCAGTGGAGAAGGGAGAGTACTCCTTGAAATTCCAGCTGCATGCAAAAGAAGCAAGGGGTGTAAGTAACACAAGCAAAGCAAGAGGCTGCTTTTTGGAAAAGCACATCAGCCAAAGGAAATAATCGCTAGGATCTATCTCAGCACTAAGTAACCCCTTGTGGGAGGAAAATGTGAAAAAACAGTTGTGAATGAAGCTAAAGTTCCAGGTAGCTAACAGCATAACTTTTTTCTTTTTTTTTTTTCCCCCCCAAATGTTTCCAACTTTACATTTGAACGTTTAACCTTTTACCTTACTGGAGTGTCTCCAGTTTATTCTTACTCCTTAATCTCGTTTGATATTAAGCATAGACCCTTTGAGTCACCTGGCAGACAAAGACTTTGCACAACAAAATATTACAGATAATGGACTGGCACATCCCTGGAGTGCCTACCACCCAAAACATGCTGTGAGGAGCTGGGAGACAAGTTTTCCACTACAGTGCAGTTTGGGTTTGGCCAGATACCAGGAGGATGAAGAAGAGCTTGTCTTGGCAGAGTTCCTCTGGGCAAGAAGCAAAAGAAGCTATGAAAGCAGTTTAGAACTGAGCACTCACAACGAGAAATCAAGTCAATCAAACAATACATCCATGTGTAAGAATTCACATCTTTACAACATGGTGTAAATCACTTGGAAGTCGGGATCGATGGCTCCAGGTGTGTGATCCCAAAGCCCAGGCTGTGGATGAATCAGCTGGTTTCCAGCAGCTCCTCTGTGTGGGGAAGCAGGCAAAGAGGACAGGCACCTAATCTGGCCAATTACATATCTCTAAAAGAGCGTAGCTCAGCTACAGAGTGAATTTATTCATCAGCTGAGGCAACTGGTGGATTTACAGCATGCTAAGACATTAAACTCTTCAGGGCAGCATCTGGCAAGCATCTGAACCCCAGCTAGAGCACTGCGAGGTCTGTCTCACACTCACTGTCAACTGTTTCCTCTGTCAACAAGTGCCAATGCTGACACTTTCCTTGCACCCATGTACTTCACACACTATCAAAGGCTGATGGAACAACTCCAGGGGAATTTGAATCTTACCTGATTATACATTTTTAATAGTCTTACACTCAGCTAGTGAATCTCTAGGACTAAAATACACCTTCTGTAATTCATCCCTGCGTTGGTAAGGTAGGAAATGATGGAGTATTTAACTTTTCAAAACATAAATAAATGTCAAATATTGATCTGGGCTGGTGCAGGGAAAAAAATGTTTCCAGTTCAGATAACACTGAGAAGTGCAACTGCTTCTTTATTTCCATCAAAGCAGAGGATGTCCACAGACTGACCTGGATGAAGCACGTGCAGCATCATCGCATCAATCACACAATGCAAAAGTTACTGCACGTGAAAATGGAGAGATTTTGGAAGGGCACTGAGAGACCCTGTTCTGCTAGGTCTCCAGTAGGTCTGGGAAACACAGTTCTGCTTTGTGCGGGAAAGATGTTGTCCAGGAAATGCTTTTCATGTTTTAAAAACTACACTCAAGGATTTTTATAACATGGATAAAAGGCAACTGCAACTCACAGAGAAAGCTGTTGCTCTGCAGAAAGCGTTGATTTTGACTAAAACGTGGTTTATTACAACAGGTTTGAGCAAGGCAGGGGAGCTGCTGTGGCAGAAATGGAAACAGTTGTGAAAAAAATATAATCGTGAAGTTCAAACAGAGCAAAAGCATCTGCACGTTGGTAAAAACAGGAAGTCTGTAAAGCCATATAAACCAGGATGCTGTTTTATAAAGCATGGTACTAGAAGACATGATGCCACGTTTGTTTAAGAGACAGAAAGGTGAATAAATAAATGTGTGCTTGTGATCTACCACCAGAACAGCAAAGGTGATGGTTTGCACAAGCAATCAGGAGATCCAGGGTCAAGGAGTGAATCTCACAAGTGAGGACAAACTGAGGCTATGTTAAAAAGCTCAAAAACAAAGTTGGAAAAAGTTGAAATCGTGTCCTTCACTATGACAGTCTTAGGGGTAACAAAATGCTGCTCTACTCAGTTTTTAGGAAATCACAAGCGACGTGGTTTGTAGACTTAAAAATCAGAGCTTCTCTACGACACCCATCTATGTGGTGTGTATTTGGGGTACCTCTTCTCTCCCCCAAATGAGAGGAGAGGCTGGGATTTAAGCTGGCCCTAACCTGTGGGCTCAGGCTGCTCCCCTCCCCCGAGCACAGCGGGGGTGCCATGGCCAGCGCCGGGAGCTCAGAGCCCGGCCACGGGTGCGTGTGAGCCGAGGGAAGGAAGTGACACAGGCAGGAAAAAAGAGCAGATCGAGGGAAAGACTCAGCTGCAGCTGGGCCTGGAGCAGGCATTCATCTGGGCCTGCCACACAGCAGCCAGCCCCAACACCCCTCTCTCCCCCACACACCGACACATCCCTTGGTACAAGAGGCAAGGGGGGTAACGGTTGGACTCGACGATCCTAAAGGTCTTTTCTGACCTAAAGAATCCTAAGTATCCATATTTCAAATGCTGCCAAGGAGCGAAATAACCTTCAGTCATTGTCCCTTCTGTAAAGGGCCAGAGAATCACCCTCGGTCAGCTCCAGCTGCAAAGAAGGGATGACAAAGTGGAATCCCAAGCTCCTGCTCTTCACAACACCCATCCTTCAGACTGGCTTACAAAAACCAAGAGGGAAGAAAAACAGAGCACGACACAGCCTGTTACCCCTCAGATGCTCAGA